GAGGGCAAAGTAAAATGGATAGGGCTGTCAGAGGCCTCACCGGAGACTATCAGAAGGGCACATGCAGTACATCCAATAACAGCAGTTCAGCTCGAGTGGTCTTTGTGGACACGAGATGCTGAAGAAAGTGTTATTCCTACTTGCAGGTAAGGCATTTCTTATGCATTGGCAAAGCAAACCAGTTAGGAGGAATAATGATCAACAAATTGTCACCCAATTGCTCTTTTTCCAGGGAACTTGGAATTGGGATTGTTGCTTTTGGTCCCCTAGGAAGCGGATTCTTGGCATCTGGACCAAAATTGGTTGAGAATCTGAACACAACTCCTGATTTTGATGTCCGAAAGGTTGGTCCTAATGAGTTGTTCATCTCCATGAGATCCATTTTGCCTGCATTAGATCCACGAAGGATAGACCCAATACAATTAGGATAACTAGGAATAATACAAAACAAATTTCGTTTCTTATATCATTCATTTTCTTGTCAAACTATTAATCCTAAGACATTTGGATTGTGTTTGCAGAAGAATTTGCCATGCCATATCTTGCCTCTTTTGGTGGATAAGTAGTAACAGCGCTATGTCTTTGCTCAGCACGTAGCAGTTACTCTAGTCTCTATGTCATGAAGCTTGCACATTTTTTGTGGCCTTATTTCCTTCTAACTATTTGAACAAATCTGATTTATATTCTACTGGTGTATAACTTTGGCAGCTTTCTTCTGCCTTATCTACTGTCTAGTAAATATTGTACCCCTTCACTTTTACATGACATGCAATAATAGCAATATGACCAACACCAAGTGCTGATTGATGCTGATACATGACCTTTAGAACTACTAATTGCTCCTTCTGAGGAGAACCTTTACCGAGTTACCCAGGCTTGCCATTAAAGATCTGCAGTATCTGTACACGTTTGTGTGTCTTATTGGGTACATAGGAATGCGTAAAGAAAGAGGTGCTTGTTTCTCTGTCTTTTGGTTTTAGGTCTTCATTTCGCCTTACATATCTATGTGACTTCCTGGGTGCATATTTATGCATACAGAGGCGCTTATTTCCTTCTCTTTTTTGTTTTGGTTTTATACCTTGGTCTAATTGGAAAATTCAACCAACAACCTTGTATCCATAGCAATTGAAATCCCTCTCTGGTACTTGTGCAGGCAAACCCAAGATTTCAGCCAGAAAATGTTCAGCACAATCTGAAAATGTATGAGCAGGTTGAGGAAATGGCTTCAAGAAAGGGTTGTACTCCATCTCAGTTAGCATTGGCATGGGTTCATCACCAAGGAGATGATGTCTGTCCAATTCCAGGAACCACCAAGATACAGAACCTCGAGAGTAACATCAAGGCTTTATCTGTCAAGTTAACCTCAGAGGAAGTGGCTGAACTCGAGTCCATCGCTAATGCAATCAAGGGTGAAAGATTAGCACCTCAGTACTTGGCTCTTACTTGGAGGTTTGCCAATACTCCACCATTGTCCTCGTGGAAAGCTACATGAGTTGATGTTCTGGCAGTCCAGTGGCTTCAGTTGTTTAATGTGGAGCTCTAGTGTTTGGACCCTTTGTGTTTCGGGAGTAAATTGTCTGAAATGAATCTTCTGTTCTAATTGTCCTGGACAATGTTGAATAGGAAATGGAAATGGACAAATCTCTAAATAAGAGGCCGGAGACAGTCTTTATACCCTTGTGCTGTTTGAATAAGAAAATTTTCGTTCTGTTCTACTAAGTTTTGTCTTCATCGTGACAAAGACCTATTTAACTGCTTCTTTGCATTTATTTTAATTAAAAAAAGTTGTGTCGCCAGTTGTATGGTGCATTCACAACTCCATTACCATCATGCTTGCATAGTTTCTGCCAGGGTCTCTTCTCCTTCATTGTCCAAATCCTCCTTTTTTGCTGAACTAAACGATTAGAGTCGGCAACGAGTCTACCAATACCCGTCGGATCGATTTCACATATTAAGGAGGCTTCTGATTAAGTCACTAAAAACCGCAACGAGTCTACCAACGAGTCTACTAAAAACGTTTAAAAGTCATCCCGCTTAGTGCTTTGATTGTGAGTTAAAAACCAAGATACGTGCAATATAGAACAGCCGGATAATTCAAGACTAAAGATTTCAAAACCCGTAAATCTTTGTTGTGCACAGGTACAAATATGACCCTGAAGTCCTGAACTTTCTCTGATAAAATCAGAACCGGGATTGCAAATATTGTTACATATTCATGCTTTGAAGGACAAAACCCAAGACCTATATTTCTTAATAACCTTGCTGAGAAATTGAAGCTGAGTAAATTTCAGAAATGGCAAAAAAAGAACAGCTCCAGATGTATAGAGTAAAAGCCACTTCACGTTTTGATGTATTAGTTACTAAGGTCTCTGGTGCTCGCACTTGCATTTTAAACGACAAACAGAACAGCTCCAGATTCCCGCCAGAAAATGTTCGAGCATAATCTGAAAATGTTTGAGTCGGTTAACAAAAAAGCAGCAAGGATGGGCTGCATGCACACAAACGGAGCTACCATTGGCAAGGGTTCATCTCCAAGGAAAATTGTCTTTTTCAATTCCAGGAACCATAAAGATAGAAAACCTCAATAAACAGGAAGGGTTATCTGTTGAGTTAGCTCCAGAGTAAATGTCAGATCCCCATTCCACTGCTGATTAGGGTGAAAGACGATTTTCCATCTCTTGGCTATTAGTTAAAAGACAGCCCAATACCCAAATTTGTCAATGCTGTACCAAATTATTTCTCCAACTATGATTTTCACATTTGACAACTCTTGCTTTATAGAATAATATTCCCCTGATCCTGTATCCCAGAATAATGCCAACTATATGCTGAACTCCTAAACTATTAATAAAAAGGTGGGATCTGTGACCTTTACTTTTATCTCATTTACACTGTTTCTTTCCTTTTCCTCCTCTCCTAAGCTCCCAAACTACTTGCATGGTTGATTAGCATTTTTTTAAGAAGTTAATATCCTAAACATTAAGAAAATAAACTTTTCATCGATAAAAGATATGGCCAACTGTACAAACAAAACCATCATATGCTCAAAAATAGGATCAGAATTGCAATTCTCATAAGCACTTCAATCCATTACTCTCTTGCCTTACCCCCTTCTGTTCCTGCATCTCCTGAACATCAGAAGATCTAGGTGCCGAAAGATAACAGCTAATAACAGAAAGACATTACAAGGGAAGGACAACTACAAATTAAAATATCCCTTGCTAAACAAATAGCAGGTAGGGCAGCTGGTCTAGAACCACAGCACGCTATACAAATTCAACTCCTATTCCAAATGCTAACACATGGCATTTATGCCCTGTCAATATGACATCACCCTCTAAACCTACATTTAACACACAATGCAGAAGATTTTGGTTTCAATTGTCATTGCACGACCTCCTATTGCCAAAATCCTTCAGTGACACTTCAAACGGGCGTTTATACCAAGATTGAGATCTAAATCATACTGTAATTCCAGATAATACTCCAAGTCATGACAATTAGACTAGTCAAAGCACATGACTAATGCATCTCGATGTACTGAACTGAACCAAACCTACCAAAGGAGATGCCTAGAAAATGAGATTGGAAGTGAAGAAAATACAAAACCCAGGCCATAATTACCAAGGGGACAGGACTAAAAGCATTATCTATGTTTTAAAGAGCATATTATAATCAATTATCAAGTGGTAATAAAAAGTTAGCAACTATAAATAATAAAAATGTGCTGCACAAATTTTTCTGAATTGTCATCATATAGGAACAAGCAAGCAATCAGAGGTACATTAAGCGAATTATAACATCATGCCACAAACACAAGCTCTTCACACAGAAATATTCTGCTAATATATTCTTAGCAGGTCTTCAAACCTAATTATTACCCAAATAAAGACATCAAGAAGTGATAGCATAAAGGAACCCCAAATACCAGTCATTGCATTCATCATCAGGACTAGAAACTACATGGTTAAGTGACGTATCACCTCCCAAAAACCAACTAGAACTAGTCTCCATGGCGACTCTTCCTGCTCTTCTTCTCAGACCTCCTTTTATCTCTGCCAACCCGAGGATCATCAGAACCAGTATCATCAGAATCAGATGTTGAAGCTGTCCTCCTGCTTCTCCGCTTGCGTCGCCTATCACCAGAATCCTCAGGAGAAGCATCAGAGTAATCAGACGAATGCCTGTGACTCCTCCTTCTCCTCCTTTCCTTCCTACTTTTCCTCTTCTTCCTCCTCTTCGACTCGTCCTCCTCATCAGAAGACTCGTCATCATCCCTGTTCCTCCTCTCCTTCTTCCTCTTCCTCCTCCTCCTCTCCTCATCCTCTGAATCATTATTCTCCCTCTTCCTGTTCCTCCTTTTCCTTGACCTTCCCCTCCTATCTTCCTCATCCTCATCATCATCATCATCCTCTTCAGCCTTCCTCCTGGAGCCTACCTTTGCTTTCCCATTGACCTTCTTTTCATACTTCTCCGCAATAATCCTCTCCATCTCAGAATCATAATCTGAATCCGAACTCTCGCTATCCTCCTCCTCCTCCTCGTCTTCACTACTCTCCCCACTCTCCAACCCTACCTTTTTCACAAGCCCCTTAACCTTCTCCCCCTTCAATTTCTCCAAAACCACCTCCCTGATCACATCATCGTCAACATTCCCCCCTCTATTCACATCCTCCCTGACGCTCAAAAAATTTCTACACTGAAAAGTCAAGTGCCCAACTCTCCCGCACTTTTTACACGACCCACGAGCCTCATCCGAATTCGAATTCGTAATCCGGGCTAAAGCCAGCAAACCCTGGAAGCTAGCATAGGCATTTTCAGGCTCGGGTTCAGCAGAATCGGAAACTTTGCTGGTCGTCGAAGCTTTCTTACCATCGTCTTTAGCCGTGGGTGCATAAGGATCGTACCCAATAGCGCTCTGCCATATACCGTGAGTCTGGAGGGCAGCGCTACTGTGCACCCGGTTGTTCGCCGGCATGCGAACCCTTCCTGCTGTGGCCGGCATCCTGATTCGATTCTATTGCTACAGAGAAACAGACGTCTGCAAAAAAAATTTCAGGGATGGTGTTAGGGTTTCTTTTTCCTTTCCTTTTAATGGAAAAAAAAAATCTGTGGATTCGGAACCCTAATTGAGTTTAAATTTGGCATTGGAAATCGGAATGAAACCGTCATAGTGAGAAGTATAGCTTTGGACGCTTACCTGAGGAAACTCGGAGAAGAATGAAGCCCGATCGGATTCTAACTTTGAAACTTGACCGTAAGGACGGGTCGAACAGAGGATTAAATGGAGAAACTGATCGTACATTGATCTTATTTGAAGGAGTAAGAGAAGGAGATCTCCACGACGTCGTATAGTCTTTGGCGGTGAAACTCGTCGAAAGTGCCTTTTTGTCCCTTGAAAAAAAAAAGAATAAGAATTATATAGGGACAGGGGAGTGGTTTTCTTTTGTATATTTTGTATTTACAATCGTACATGTTGAATTAGGATAAGGGAGAATACATAGATAGAATTGCTCTAAACTCACCAAATACTTACAGACTAGTGTGAATACCCGTGCTAGGTGCTGGCATTATTGAAAATCGATGTAATTATTAAGAGAAGGTATTCTCTCTTATATATTTTATTTAAATTGATATTTTCTTGAGAAGCATCACCTTTGTCACTTTCTTTTTCTTTCTTGAATGACCTTTATTTAATGAAAAAGCCTTAATGTTATCTTTTTCCGCGTTGGTGTAAATAAATTGTATCACTTAATGCATTGTCAAAAGTTCCCTCATTTTTAAAGATAATTACATCATTTTAATTATCCATTTCCCTCTCACCACTCCAAAAAAAAAAAAAAGAACTAATTTAAATTACTATTTTTCAACAAAAATAATTCTAATCTTTTTAATATCTTTTTAGTAGTTGCACCCACACATATTGGATGTGCTTAAAGCACTAATTCTAAATATAACTCAAATCATTAGAGGAATATACTGAAGAGAAACAACTAATTAGTGGAATTTCACGAACAACAGAAATAGAGAAGGAACTATATACAATACATAAAGTAAGAGCGGGCGGCAATTGGTGCAAACATTTTCTATCAACTTTTGAACTTTAAATTTTACTCTTAGAAAAATTAATTTTTTACTCTAATCACTTAATTACATTTACCAACATAAATCTCTAACAACTATCCCTAAATATTGCAACCATCAAATTACTCCTATCTTTTTTTATTAAAGAAAAAGTTACTTATAAACTAAAGTTTGTTAATGAAAAATTCTTATAAAATTTATTTGTGTAAATAAAAAATCTACAAATTTATAAAAGAAAATAATTTTTACAATATATAATGTTATGTGATGTAAACATAAAAGTATCATTTTTTTGAAATTTCTATTTTACCTTTAATTATGAGACATTTTTTTGAAATTTCTATTTTACCTTTAATTATGAGAGTAAAATAGTCCCAATTTATTGTGGGACAACCCTGCAATAACAGC